TGTGCCCACAGGCCCCAAACTGCTGACAGAGACCCCACAAACCCACCCACCTCCTCGCGATTTAAAGCGGATAGCAACTCCGCACACTCCTCTTTACAAAAACACCAACTCCCACCACGATGCTGTTTTCACTAAGCAGGGGATTACCCTACCTCCCGCGCGGCAGGGGCTAAAAAGCCCTGCAAAACCCACCCACCTCCTCGCGATTGAGGGAGGTAAGCCCCTCCCTCAATCTACATACACCCCCTACGGATGCTTCACCTCCCTCCATGACGGAGCCCCTGTGGAGCAATGCTCACCACTTCTCCTTAAGAATTCAGATGACAGCAAACAGCAGCCTATCTGACCCAAATTCAATGTCTCAGCGAGTCAGCGGTAATACCCTACCTCCCTCGCGGCAGGGGTCAAAGACCCCGCAAACCCACCCGCCTCCTCACGATTCAGGGAAAACCACTTCCACTAATCTGCACCTTCTCACAAGGAAACCGAAACCCCACTGCCCAGTGCCCACCTTAATGGCGTTTCTACAGAGCGGCACTCTCTATTTTATTCCATCGCATTCAAAACGCTACACTAGAGTCGCAACTAATTACGACAACTATTACCCAAACGGAGAAAAAAAAAAAACTCAGATAACTAACACCAAACCAACAACAACAATCCAACACAAACAGTCCACTATGTACAACTCTCTCCTTCTCTCTCTCTCTCTCTCTCTCTCTCTCTCTCTCTCTCTCTCTCTCACACACACACACACACACACACACACACACACACACACACACACACACACACACACACACACACACACACACACACGGGCGAAGACAGGTGAGCACACCCAATCCACGAAGCCGATGTGCGCTCCTGCTGGAGATCGTAAATGAAATCCCCATGTACCCCGGCTGTGCAGCGAACATGAGAAGTCCAGCAATCTCCCGTAGCTCCTGTCTTCGTCACCTTGGCGGGTTGACCCTGACATCAGTGTCAGGGCAGGAGACCCCCGCAAAAACCTCCATATCAAAGATCGAGGGGCAGAACCCCCTATCGTCAGGTATGGTGCATCCCACCCGCCTATGGCCCCCACATATCACGCTCTACCTCCTCCGCCGAACTAGGATTCCTGACAGAAGTCAAGTGAGACCAGCAATGGCCAGGAGCATATCACTGCTCCCTCGGCACCCCCCCCAAACACCCTAGTGTTCTTCCCTGCGCCGCCCTGGTCAAGCCAGCGCCATGTTTTGGCAATCGAAGCAGACATATTTTGTCCGCCCCGTGAGCTATCCCCCAACGCACAGCCTTCGGTAAAGAATTTCGATGTGACCCTGAGGGCCTTCGGTAAAGAATTTCGATGTGACCCTGAGGACCGAGGCAAAAGGTGTTCGCTTTATTTTTCTGCATAACATAGCTTTTTTTCGGGGTTTTTTTTTTTTGTTTTTTTTTTTTGCTGGGACCTTCCCTGGTCCTTGCACGGCCAGGCCGCCTGGGAAAACACGGTGGCCCGGGCAGCCCGGCTGGTAGCCTAGAGCAACACTGTATAGAGTCATATAGATAAAGGAACTGTTAAAATTCTAAACGGGAAAAAGGTGGAAAAACAGTCCGCATGCCCAACATGCAGTATGCCTCCCTCCCTCGCCTCGGGATGAGCCCGTGAAAGGGCTTTCCCTTCCGCTAAACAACGGTGGACATGTATTTGGACTGAACAATGGACGAGATACATTTGCACAAATCAAATCTTTTGAATGTATCGGGATCACACAGACAGACAGAGAGAGAGAGAGAGAGAGAGAGAGAGAGAGAGAGAGAGAGAGAGAGAGAGAGAGAGAGAGAGAGAGCACCCGGCTGACATGTGAAGCCCAGCGGGTGCGGGTTATTAAGGCGTATTCACACTAACACTTTCTTGGATGTATCTGGACGCAATTACGACTCCCTACGGATGTATCTGACCGGAATTACGGGCAGAGTCGACGGTTTGGCCGATGCATTTCACTGTTCGCGTTTCTTTTAATAAGGGAAAATTTGCAAGGAAAAAAAAATAATAATAAAAAAATTGTTACGCTTCAGATTCGTTACGGTTCAGGTTCAGATTTACAGCAATTTGTTTTTTTTTTTTTTTTTTTTTTTTTTTGAGAAAAAACTGGCCTCAAATCAAGTAAATGAAATTGAATAAGGGCGTACTCGCACCAACACTTTCCTAAATGTATCTGACTGCAATTACGGCCGGACCAGGATGCATCTGACCGCAATCACGTCCAGAGGTCCGTTCAAAAAAGGTCCTACCGGTAGTCTGAGTATGTCCTAACATCTTTAGATGTCTTCGTGTTTTATGGCCCATCAAAAGGGACAAAAAAAAATAAAAAAAGCGTAAGTTCGCAGAAACAGGACACACCTCACCTTGCGACTCTACTGCCATCAGCCAACGAATGCCTTCTTTTTTTTTTCTTTCTTTTTTTTTGGTGGTCCGATAGACCGGATCCCATATTTAAATTTTAAACTGATCAAGACAGATGGTACATTTATTTTTCTTTGACACTTTTTTTCTTTCTTTCCCCCAAGTGAAATTCAGCACACAAATGATATATGTTCCTTATTTATGGATGTATACATGTATGCATGTATGTATTTATCATTTATGTATGTATGCATGTACGTAGGAGAAATGTCAAATCTAGGTGACTCTTTTGATGATGAATTGTTCGTTCATCACTGTGACCGCAGCCACTGCACGTGTTTTTTTTTTTGTTTTTTTTTTTGAATGACAACTAGGAGGGATGTGAAAAAAAAAAAAAAAATCACTGTGACCGCAGCCACTGCACGTGTTTTTTTTTTTTTTTTTTTTTTTGAATGACAACTAGGAGGGATGTGAAAAAAAAAAAAAAAAAAAAAAAAAGTGGTTTGTGTGCATTAGATGGGAGGACGGCGGACCCCGACTGGTGACTCCCGTTTTTTTTCTTTCCTTTTTTTTTCTGGGTGTGCTGTGTATGTGACTGGGTACATAGAGAACGACGAGTCGGGTACATAGAGAACGACGAGTCGCTCTACTGGGGGGAGAAAGAGAGAGAGAGAGAGAGAGAGAGAGAGAGAGAGAGAGAGAGAGAGAGAGAGAGAGAGAGAGAGAGTAATGCCGACAGCTGGCCTTTGCAATCAAGCCACCCACCCAACATCG